TGAATTTTTGTCTCTACATAGAGCCTTCCTTATTGAAATGCATTAATAAAGTCAAGAAACAAAGACTGTTTCTCTCTTTCCTACACCAGTCTAGCAAGTCATGTACCAGATGAACAGAAAAAAAGAGTATCAATAAAGAGCAAGATGCTTATTATGTGCTAAGCATTATTTCAAGTTTTTACATATATATTAAGTCATTTAAATAATCACAAAAGCCTCTGAGATAGGACAACTTTATCAGTTTGTATCATCTCAATTTTAAATATATGGAAAATGAAACACAGAGAGTCAACTAATCTTCCCAAGGTAGATGGCACAAGGAATGAATCCATCCTTCTGATTATCCAATACTTCTCCTCAGTAAGTATTTTTGGACCAAATAAACAAGTGAGAAGGAGAATACAGAGTGGAAAAACAAATTTACAGATTATAGATAGATAGATAGATATATGGGCTAAGATTTGGAACATGATGAATTTCAAAGCACTTAGAAAAGGCTGTTTAGTACTATTCGATTAAAATACTACTAGTAAAGTTAAACAAAAGGATTCAGAAATCATCAGGTTCAACTGGAATACTTAATATAATACTTAGTGTATTACATTCAAGACATAAAGTTACAGAACTCAAGACAATGGGTATACTAAAAGTCCAAGAAGAGATAGAACAGCTGGACACCGGCATTCCATGCCTGTAATCCTAGCTATTCAGAAGGCTGAGACCTGAAGATCAAGATTTAAAACCAGGGTTGGAAATGGTGGCTTAATTGTAGAGGGCTTGCCTAGCATGCATGAAGCCCTGGGCTCCATTCCTCAGAACCACATAAACAGTGGTGCTGTGGCTCAAATGGTAGAGTGCTGGCCTTGAGCAAAAGAAGCTCAGGGACAGTGCCCAGGCCCTGAGTTCAAGCCTCCAGACTAACAACAACAACAACAACAACAACAAAAAGACTAGAAACCAGCCTGAGCAGGAAAATCCATGAATCTCTTATCCTCATTAGCCACCAAAAAGCTAAAAATGAAGATGTGGCTCAAGTGGTGGAGCTCCAACCTTGAACAAAAAAGCTAAGGGAAAGCCCTGAGTTCAAGCCCCAGTTTCAGCCCTGGGCAAGCACTCCTATGTACACACGCGCATGCACACAAACACACCAAATGGAAAAGAAAAGAAAAAAATATATAAGCTGAGCTAATAGCTTAGTGGTAGAGAATTGGCCTAGCATTTGAGAAGTGAGTGTCAATTACCAGCACCTCATATAAAATGCATTTTTTCTTTTTTTAATACGTTTTTTATTGTAAAAATAGTGTACAGCGGGGTTACAGTTACATGAGTAAGGTAATGAGTACATTTCCTATGGAGAATTGTTATCTCCTCCTTTGTTTTGCCCCTACCATCCCCTCCCTCCTCCTCACAAGTTGTAAAGTTCATTTTCAACATAGTTTCTTGTAATAAAATGCATTCTTACACTGTTTTTTTGTTGTTGTTTGGTTGGTCATGGTGCTTGAATTCTGGGCCTGGGCGCTGTTCCTGAGCTTCTTTTGATCAAGTCTAGCACTCTACCACTCGAGCCACACCACCACATCCAGCTTTTTGTTTATGTGGTACTGAGGGATTGAACCCAGGTCTTCATGTATGCTAGGCAAAGAATCGTATAGGACTGGGAATGTGGCTTACCGTTAAGCCACATTCCCAACCCTATACTGTTCTTAATATCAGAAAAAAAAGTAAAAACAATTTTGGAATGCAGAGCATTTTTAATTATATGTAAAACATTTTCATATGTTGGGAATAGGAAAACTATTTCTGAGCCTCAAATAATAGAAACTGGTGGAGTGTCTCAAGTAGTAGAGAACCTGCTCAGCACCTATAAGGCCCTGAGTTTAAAGTATAGTACTTCTAAAACAAATCAATAAAAACCAAAAAGGAAATCACAGATTAAAGAACTAAAATCATTTAACTTTTATGAGGAAAGAGCATGAGTAATTTCAAAATTTGAAATTCCAAAATGGGAGTAAAGACTCAAAATATATGACAAATAATAAACACAAAGTAATTTCTTGTTTATTTGTTCTGTTTGTGTGTATATGTCAGTACTGGGGATTGAACTCACGGCCTCACACTCTAGCTTGGCTTTTTTGCTCAAGAAGGGCACTGTACCACTTGAGGCACAGCTACATTTCAGGTTTTCTGGTGCTTAAACGCAGATAAAAGTCTCTACAGATCTCATCTTCTTAAGTAGCTAGGATTACAGGCAGTGAGTCAGCAGCACCAGGCTACAAAGTAATTTCTTTAAAATTATTATGAGGCAATGATAGATAGATACTATCAGGCTACTCAAAAGAGACTAAACAATATAAAGATTCTAATAATAGAATTCAACAAGATACAAATTAAGTTAATGAACCATTACTTTTCATAATAGGATTGGATAAAGTAAAAGATAGGATATGGGTTTTCTCAAACACTGTTACTAGCAAAGGGCATATCCTTTCTGAAGAATTATTCAGGAATGGAGAATTGGTAGCGAAGTGATTCTACTTCAAAAAGTGTACAGTCAAGGGATAATCAAGAAAGCATATAACTAGAGTGCTGAAGACATCATTGCCTATAAAAACTAACAATTGATTCAGCAATCTCATTTCTGGGTATGTAGCCAGAGAACTGAAAATAGAACTTGGAATAGATAATTGTACTCCCAAATACACTGCAGTATTACCACAACTAAGGTAAAAACAAAATATGTAAGTGGATAAGAAAAATTATTTTACACACATACACCATGAATTCCTTCCTAGAAGAAAAATTTCATATTATCATATTATCATGAGTGATAGTTAACATAGTAAAAAGTCAACCCTTATGTAATTTCATTTACAAACAGTAAGATAAACTCTTAGAATAATAGCTGCCATTTGTGTGATAAGAAGAGAAGCTTTTAATGAATTTAGAAATTTAAGTTTTCAAGACAAAACATTCTAGATTCTATAGAGACATACGTGATATAGTTAACATTATAGTTAACACTTACGAGTGGTTAAGATGATAAAATTAATTTGTTTTTACCACAGTAACAGAAAAATTCTTAATTGAAAAATACATAAATAGATAGAAGCAGGGAACTGATATTAAAGCTATATAATGAAATAATGGTGGCAATAACAAATGATATCCACATTTATTTAGATGAATTTATAACCTATTGTTGAGCTTCAAAAAATTATAAAAAAGCAAAGCAATATTATGCCATTAACATTATGTATATTCTTTGTAGGTAGAGATGCTATAAACAACAGTATCTCTGAGTAACAGAATTAAATCCACCTTTAAAAAATACTGTCCAATATTTTAAAATAATTGAGTACATAATTTATACATGACAAGTGGTAACTTAAAAGAGGAAGTGATTCCCATCACTTTCTGGAATCTTGGGGTAGAATTTTATATTTCTTTCTCAGTATGTATGTGGAACATACAGAGTGATTTATAAATATTTGAGAAGCATGGTAGTGATTAGGAGTTAAAAATCAGGTGGAACTGGATTTGAATCTCAGCTCCAAAATGCATTGATTAGGAGTTTCAGGGCTCAAAGTCTATTTTAACTGTACTGAGCCCCACTGTTTTCAACTACGAAATAACACTGAGGCTAGGGGTGTAGTTTAGTCCTAGATTCCATTTGTAGCACAAAAAAAAAAGTAAAACAATACTTACAGATTATGGCAGAGAATATATATTAATTGCAATTTAATTTATGCCTCAGATGGAATAACAAAATTATAGTCATCATTTGTTTATTGACTGGGAGGGCTTATAAAAAATCTAAGCATTAATAGAAAACTATATTATTAAATGCAGGCAGTAATAGTTAAATATGATATAGCTCTTGCTTAGTGTGCATGAATTATAAGGTTCAGATTAAAGCATAAAATAAAGGGAAAGAGGGAGAAAGGAAAGGAGGAAGTAAAGGAATGAGAGGATAGAAGGATTCTTCTAATCATAGAACTGCAAAATTACAGATAAGTTTCTCATCTACTCCATACATTAACACCGATGAATACTGATGACTTAGAAAAAATAATGGAAAGAGAAAAATACGATTAATCTAAAGATAGAATAACAGGAAGCCAAATAAAACACACATGCAGGTAAAAGATAAAAGGACTATTGAAGATCTGACTGAATTTGGGGAGAATAATAAAACAAGTAACCTTACCATTAATTTTGCTTACCTAAGTCTCTCCTCACTACTTTCAACAAGGGACTTTCTCTTAGGTATTATTGTACTTTCAAAGTCTTGCCTAGCACAAATATTTGCCAGATGATTTAGAAGATAAAGTCTCAGTAAATATGATATGAGAAAAGGCATAAGGGAGTGGCACCAAACTTCTGGGTACAGAAGTTGTCCAGTTCACGCTTATTAACTCAGAGCCCAAGGATGGCTTTCCTCCTTCAAATTATATTGCAAAGTTTGTACAAGTCAGAGGAGCTAGCCCCAAACTTCCGAGTTCGTTCAACGTGAAAATGTATAGTCAGCCTTCACAAGTAGTAGCAAAAGGTAATTCGATGTGTCCTTTACAAATATATACATATAACTGCAATTTAATAATGAGCGAAAAGAGATTAACCTCGGATCTGAAATCCAGGGATGGAAAATGGCATTAGAGAATTAGGAATGAACCCCTACCAATATACTCGCTCTGTATTAAAATGCATATAAATCTGGCTCAACTTACTATCTCCCACGCCAAAAGCAAAACAAAACAAGACAAAAAAAACCTGCCTACTGCCCAACAAACCACTCTAGACCACCACACCTGGTCCCGTTGCAGAATCTCCAGCTCCCGCCACAGTTTTGGGATGTGTCCGCCCCTAAACGGAAGTGACGTTAGAGGGGGGAACCTCAAATAAGAGAGTTCAACCCCAGCAATCTAATCTGAAAGTTCTGAGGAAACTCCTGATCATCCCGCTACACCCTCCATCACCCCTTAATTGGAAAAAAGACTCACTTGCGACCATTAGCTCCAAAACATTCAGACATTTTCCTTTGGCCAAGTAGGCAGCATATTTCTTCAAGACTACAATTCCCGTGATGCCTCACAGGAAGTAAACCGGAAACGGTAGGCGCGGAAGCAAGGCACCTTGGGAAGTGGAGTCCGCTTAGGCCGAAAAGCGCATTCGTCCCGCCCTCCGCCAGTGAGGCTTCAGAAACCAGGTGTTCAGCTTGGAACCCGTTACCGCTAAAACGATTCAGACCTTTTAGCAATATTCCTCACTTTTCCCCACAGTGAACAGAAATTTTCCTTGACCCGTAGAAAGCAGTACAAGTGCTCCCTAAAGAAATGATGTCTTTCCAATATCTCCAGTCAATAAAAACTCCCGGAACTCCCCAACCTCAGGCTCCAACTCGTGGGAAAAGGTGGTCCTTTTACAAGTGGGCAAAATGGCTGTCCTCCTAGTTTTCTCATTGGTTGTTATTTGCGTCCTTCAAGGGCGGGCATTTACCACAGATTGGTTCCTTTTCCCTTGAGGGTGGCCTAGCTCTCCCGCGGCCCAGGAGAAGATAATGGGTGGAGAGAAAGCAGTGCTTTCAAGCCTGATTGGACGTTGCTCATGTCACTCTACAGCTGTACAGCCTATGATGGAGTCGGCTTCTTCTCTAAGAGAACAAAGAGGCGGGACTAGTGCGCGGTGGGAAGGGGCGGGATTCTGCCGCCGCGGCTGCCGCTGGAGCCGGTGTCCGGGCTGGTGATGGGGTTAATTCCCTTTCGTAAGACTCTCACTTGCACCCACCCAGCCCCGCCGTCGCCCCGCCGCACCGCGCTCCAACCGCCTCCTCCTCCTCCTCAGTAACGCGGGTAAGAGATGCCCTCCCCTCCCCCTCCCTCAGCTCCCCGGGAATAACGCGCCGCGCTCCCCTCCCCCGCCCGCCAACCGGTAGCGCTAACGGAGCCGAAGCCAGGCTGCCGAGGGATGTGTGTGTGAGAGGAGCTGCCTCTCCGGCTGGGTCTCCGCCGCCGTCCTGCGGCTGCCAGCCCGCTGAGAGGTCGGGTTCCGAGAGAGGCGGGCTCGCCGGACCCGCGACTGCGGCCGCCGCGGCCGCCGCTACCTTGGAGCCCACCGCCCCCACCCGGGGGCCATGTGAACATCAAACCCCTCGAGGCCTAGCGGAGCCGGAGAGGGAAAGGTTCGCGAGTCCCTTCTATGGCTGCTGCTGCTGCCGCCGCTCACTGCAGCTGCTCTTGCAGCCCCAGAGACTTGGGGAGCCAGCCCCCCGCCAGCAGGCCTGCCCGGAGCGGGTGCTCCTGCGTGCGTGGTTCTCCGTCTCTCGGGTGACCGGCGCGGGTGCCCCCGGCTGCCGACCCACTGGATGGCCGCAGTCCCCCCACCCCACCCCGCCCGGCCTCGCACCGGAGAATTTGTAAAAGAAAGAGAGAGAGAAAAAAAAAGACTTGGCGACCGGTTTTGGTACCAGACTTGCAACTGGTTTGGGGCTTGTAGGCACAATGGGAAAATTAAAAAGTTGAATGACTTCTCAGTGTCCCGGTGCCTGGGGATCAGCTTCTCCGAGGCGTTTTAGCTTTAGGCTGCCTTCTCCCTCCCTCCCCTTCTCCAAAAACAAACAAACAACTCGTGTTTAAAGTTTGGGGAGTTTTGTTTGTGAAGGGTCAAGGAAGTGCTACTGTATTTATTATGTTTTCAGTCTTAAGTTGTTGGGATTGTGAGGTTCCCCCCCCCCATGTCTCATGGTCCTGGGATAGTAAAAGCCACTCAGTAAAAGGTGAATTGGTTTAAGGCAAAATCGTAAGGTTTTGTAAACTAGCCACGCAAGCGTCCCCAAGGTTACAGTTTTGCAGTATAACTTTGGAGGCACCCGTTGCTTTTATCTTCTTGCATTTTATTGATGACGAGAGTATTTGAGTGATTGGGGTTGCTGATCGGTCTTCGTGTGGTCCCCAGCAAGTGTGAGGCCCGGGGTTCCAGCACCACACACACACAGACACATACACACACAAACAAACAAGGGCAAAGTCAAACTTCCATGTTCACATGTATATCGTATTTGAAGCAGTAAGCATCATGAACGATGTAGTAGACTACCAGTTTCACAGTAATTGGACACGTCTCATTTTTAAAAACGTGGGCATATTTGGGTAACTTTCAGTGCATTATCTTGTAAACTTCATCAGATTGTGTGATCAAGCGATCTTTTCAGATACCACTTTTGCCGTTTTTATCCTGTGGCATTAGGGAGCTTGGACTCCCTAATGAAAAAGCCTCAGCTTTTTTCAGTCATGGTTGGTGCTTTACCTCTTGAGCCACACCTCCAATTTCAGCGTTTTTGCTGCCCATTTAGACTCCTCGGGGCTAGTGTTGAACCTCAGTCTTCAGATCTCAGCTTCCTAAGCAACTAGTATTATAGGCCTGAACTACCAGTAAGGAGCTACTCTACTCTTGGGTGGGAGATTTAATGGATTTTAGTTGGCAGTAGTCATATCTATAGAGAAGCCTATATATGAGGTTTACTTGTTGCTAGAGTAAATGGGTTCTGAAAAAATATCTGATCTTTACATGTTAGGCCATTTTTTTCATAATAGGAGAAAACTACTAGCTTAGACTTCCCATCTCTTAACTAATGCAAATAGAGATTCTGAATTGAAATAGATCCATACATATAGAACCAGAAAGATAACTTGGATATGTGTTAAAATGTAATACATAGCCTTGGAGTGTGCTTTTTCAGTTATCCCTTGAAGAACCTGTGCCATATATGACCTAGTATATTTTCCAAAACTGTATGATTGATAAATTATACAATGAATACTTTCATACCTTATGTACTTTATGTAAAAAAGTGTTTATGAAAATATAGAAGACTCTCATTAGCTGTGGACCTAAAAGCTTCTATAGAGCTCTTGTTACCAGAGCCTTAGTTAAGGTTCTTCATCTCTAAAACGAAGATATTAATGATTATGAATCTGTGAAGATTAGAGCTAAAAATATGTAAAACTCCTAGCATTGTACATAGTGCATACATAATTTGTGCAATTAAATGTTAAATTTTTTCATTGTTTATTTTCCTAAGTTTGTAGTTCATATGCACAGAGTATTGTTAAAGCAAAACATGTTCTGTAATTGAGTACTGTGGGAATATTAATTTGTACAGTGACTTAAATAATTGAGTTTGTAGCTAGCCAATTTTAACCCAAAATGTACATGGGAAGTCAGTCATTAGATACAGAGAGTCCAGTATCTTATGGAACATTTCTTTTTGTCTTTGAATTATAGTGCAGGTGTTTTTAGAATATATTTAATTGTATTATCCATATTGTAGTGGAAAACTGTTGTGATCTCGTATGAATTTTATTTAGCTGATACGTGTTTCAAGATCTAGTTTACACAGTTAATCTCATATTCATTATGATTCTAGCTATAGGCAAGTAACAATTGAGATCTGTAATCAGAATTAAAATTAAGTCATTTAAATTCATGAAAACATACCAGACTCTGGGTTTGTAACTCACTTTAAATTATCATTATCAATATTTGAATGTTTCTTTTCTTTTTTTTCTCTTTTCTTTTTTCTTTTATTTTTATTGTTTTGTCTATCATGGGGCTTGAGTTCTGTGCCTGAACGCTGTCCCTGGTTCTTCAGCTCAAGGCTAGCACTCTGCCACTTGAGCCACTGCACCACTTCCTGTTTTCTGAGTGGTTTATTGGACATAAGAGTCTCACAGACTTTCCTGCTCAGGCTGGCTTTGAACTGCGATTCTCAGATCTCAGCCTCCTGAGTAACTAAGATTATAGGCGTGAGCCACTGGCGCCTGGCTTGAATGTTCCTTTTCTATGAAGCAACATGCCAACATTTTCCCTTCCCAAGCTCTTTTGAAATTATATTGGGCTTCATTCACACATAAAGGTGTCCTTGAGTTTCTACAGCTAAACCAATAGTTTTATTTAAATGAAGTGTTTCTGAAGTAATACCTAGCTAAGATTCAATGGGACTGTACTTTCTGCTGAATAATGAATAGAGATGAATAATGTTATGGCGAACCTGTCAAGTTATTGGCCCTTACAATTGGATGCTCTTCTAAGGAGGCTTTACCTGGTGACAGCAATAGAAAGTTTGTCTTTCAAAATAGTGTTTGGAAGGCATGCATGATCATCATCCCTTCCCAAGTAATAAAACAGATTTTCTTTTGAACTAGTATGTTAGAATTCTGAGTTATACTCATTTGGGTTAAGATTAAGTTTTAGGGCTGGGAAGTTGGCTCAGTGGTAAAGCTCTTGCCTTGCATGCATGAGGCTCTGGGTTTGATTCCTCAGCACCACATAAGCAAAAAGCCGGAAGTGGCTCTGTGGCTCAAGTGGTAGAGCGCTCGCCTTGAGCTGAAGAGCTGAGGGACAGTGCCCAGGCCCAGAGTTCAGGCCCACGACCGGACCCAAAAAAAAAAAAAAAAAAAGATTAACGTTTTAATCCTCAGAAAAAAGGAAGTTTGTGAAAATCAGTACATTTACTTTTTTCTCCCATTCTTAAAAAATTCTTTAAGTGTTGATATATTTGTATTTCATTGTTGTTGTTTGAAGTAGAAAATTTTCCTATTAACACTCTCCATGGTTAATAAATATAACCAGCAATCATGTGTCATAGAGGTGTGGTCACAAATGGTGATAAAATTTTCTAACTATTCTTGTGGCACCAAACCACAGAATCAGTGCTTTGTTTTTATAGTCACACTGTGAGGATAACTTATCAGTTATAGCTCTTTTTTTTTTTTTTTTTGGTCCTGTTGCTTGAACTTGGCCTGGATGCTGTCCCTGAGCTCTTTTGCTCAAGGCTAGCACTTATCACTTTTACCCACAGCTGCACTTCTGGTTTTTAAGTGGTTTAATTGGAGAGAAGAATCTTACAGGGACTTTTCTGCCTGAGCTGTCTTTGAACTGTGATCCTCAGATCTCAACCTCCTGAGTATATAGGATTATAGGGGTGGGCCACAGGCACCCAGCCTAGTTATAGCTTTAATAACTAAACTTGTGGTGATAATTGTAAAGAAAAGAGTATTTGTTTTCATGGTATAATAGTAAACTTTTAAAAATATTAAATCATCTTTCACTTCATCCCTAGATAATGAGGAAATATACAAAGAATCAATGAAATTTACCAAGTTAACTTTAATTCCCAAGTAAGGAAGCATTATGCAGTTAAACAAATTTTATTTTATCTGGTAAGATGATAACCTGCATATAAATATGTATCATTTCCAAAGTTAACTTATTTCCACCGCCACTGTACCCCTCCCACCCCCCACCTCCCCCCTCACCCACACAGAAGTTTAACTGTACCTGCTCGGCTGGCTCAGTGGTAGAGTCACTTGAGCTAAACCTCCAGCTCAACTTTTTTTTTGGGGGGGGGTCACTTATAGGGCTTGACCTCTGGGCTTGGGCACTGTCCCTGCGCTCTTTAGCTCAAGGCGAGCACTCTACCACTTGAGCTACAGTGCCACTTCCGGTTTTCTAGTGGTTTACTGGAGATAAATCTCACAAACTTTCCTGCCCAAGCTGGCTTTGAACCATGATCCTCAGATCTCAGCCTCCTGAGTAGCTAGGATTACAGGCGTGAGCCACAGGCACCCTGCTCAGCTCAACTTTTTGTTGGTAATTTTGCAGATGGAGTCTCACAGACTTTTTCTGTCTTGGTTGACTTCGAACTTTGATCCTTTGGATCTCAGCCTCTTGAATAGCTAGGATTACCAGAAGCTCCTGGCTTCCAAAATTTAATGGTATTTGCCTTTGCCTGAGGATTGAAATAAGAGATGAATTATTGAATCATGACCTGCTTCTTAACCTGTTTAGTCTC